TTTTGGTGGACTCCCCCCCCCCCCCGGCCGACCCCAGTTCTGCCTGAATCCAGGCAGGCTGCCTTTCCAGAAAAGGGGGGGGGGGCTTTTTCCTGTCGCAGTGGACCTTCTTGTGATGAAATGAATGTGTGGAGAGGGAGAGGGGGGGCTTGTTTTAAAACGGCACATTTCCGCATCATCCCAGGAGCTGGGCTCGGATGCAGGTGCGGGCCCTGCGCAGACCCAGGCGCCCTCCGAGGGGGCTCGCAGGCCGGCCGTGGCCCCACCCCAAGCCCCTCTGCGGCCCCTTTAAGCCGCCGCCGGCTTCTTCCACATGACCGGGATGAGCGCCCTCGCCTTTTCTGTCTGGCTGAGCAGCAGCGCCGTCCCCCCCCTCCTCTGAGAGCCCTCTGTAGTGTCTGTTACAAAGCATCTCTTCAGCCAAAGAGCATCCTAATCCAGCCACCAGGTGGGGGGGGCGCGCGGGAGGAGGAGGGAGCCCAGGCGGGAGGTCTTAAAAGGGCCACGGCTGCAGAGGGGTCTCTTTCGAGGGGGGGGGAACGCCTGGGTCTGCCCCGATCCTTGCTTTGAAACTGGGCAGGATGAAAGAGAGGCAGTGCATGAAACCGACCCCTCGACATAGCCTTTGGGGAGGAGTAGCGCCTTCGGATCCTAGGAGGCCCAAGCGTCCCCTTCCGCCGCCCCCCAGTGCTCAAAACCGTTGAGTTTGCAGTTCGAATACGGCACAGGCTTCCATGCCCTCCAGATGGACATATTCATGCATTTCTGGCAGAAGCAGCAACGTATTTTGAGGTGTAAGAGCGGAAAATACTGTCTCGGCCTTCCTTTTGCAGCCGAGCGCTGTCCCGGGATGGGGGATTGTGGGCGTGCGGAGCCCAGCCATGGGGAGATGGCAGGGTGAGCAGATGAATAACCACTGGGAGAAGCAGCCACCGGGGTGTGTGTTTGTGTATGTGTGTTTTCTTTCTTTCTGCCTTGCTTTCTCATCCTGCTGGAACCGTGTCTGAAAGCGTTAATTGCTTGGCTCTTCCTTCTGCTGCTCTTGAGTGGCGGCTGAGCAGATGCCACAGACTCCCTGGGCCACGTAGGTCCAGGAAAGGGCGCTGGTCCGAGCAATTCGGGCCGGATTTATGAGTAACCTCCTCCTGGCCTTTGAGCCGACGTTGCTGGATGAATAGTTTTGCAAAAGAGGGCAATTCGGCAGCACTGGCTTTTCCCCCAAAGAGCATCACCTGCTAAAGGACCTTCCTTTTCCAACCTGCCTGTAATCCCAAATTCGGAGTTTGCAGGACTTCAGCGGGGCGAATGCCAGAATTTGGGAGCTTGTGTTTCAAAGGGCCCTGGGGGGAGGGTGTCCCAGAGGCAGATTTCAGCTGGTGTCTGGATGTTTCTGTTTATCAGCTAAGTGGAAGGTAAGGGGACAGGGTGGCCTGGATGAGGCCTTGGGAGGCAAGATATAAGCCATGCGATGACTCATGCCAACTGTGGAAGCCTTATCCCTCCGTGAGAGTGAGGTTCCTTAATCCACTATAGATAAGCTTCGCTTACAGGTAATACCAGTTGAAGGGCCAGCTGCGTGGGGCCTTGAACTGGTCTTCGCTAAAGTGTGGCGTTGCTGGCGTTGAAATTGTGGAAGCTTTCGGGTGCCACAGAACGCTTCGTTCATTCGGAGGGACGGAGACAGGGCAGAACTGTAAGCCCAGCTCAGGGGCTGGCAGGGGTGGGATCCTGCCACCTAGATGCTGGACTGCGTTTTGTGGCATTCCTCCACACGAGGTATTCTGGCTGAGGCTGATGGAATTAGTACTCTAGAAAGGACTAGAGTCCTATGTTGTCTGTGCTAGCAGAGAGATGGCAAGTTGGTTTCCTGCTGATAGAAAACATTTTCCTCTCTGGAAAAAAAATAATTAAGAAAATGTCTTTTATTTCCAGACTGCTTTGAGTGAGGAGGGTTGTGAATCCCTAAATCTCAAGGTACTTTCTAGGCCAGCAATTGACTTGCTCAGTTGAAATGTTGGAGCCTTCGGTTTAAAAGTTTGAGTTTGGATGTTTGCAATTTATTCGGGAGTCGCCTGCAATGTAAAGTACGTTCCTTTATCCGTATTTGAGAATTGCTCTTACGCTAAGGCGCAGTGGGCGGTGCGGATCGAGGGATGGACTCAGAGCCAGAAGACCTGGGTTCAAATGTCTGCTCAGCCACTGAAACTCTCTGGTAGGGAGTGATTGGAACACGAGAACCAACACTTTGGAGGCGTAATGAGCAATAAATTTCCAAAGGCTTGTTTCTAGGACGGTAAATCTACAGTGCACGAAGGGAGCTGAAATATCGAAGAGGTGCTTAAGCCTGTCCCTTTGGAACGG